TAAATCATTAACTGTGATCATATTGCACCAATCCATCTGAAAAATTTATCAACCGCCCATTCGTTTTTAAAAGCAAAACTAAACACATTTGAATGATTTGTAATTAGATAACTAGGATTTTTCATATGTAGCTATAGTAGTAAATATGAACATTGATATTTTTGGACAATATTTTTAATACAACTTACTCATAGATCGGTTTAATAAATTGAGAGCGAATTGTTTTGATCTAGCTTCCAAAGTTCCTGAATACCAACTACATTTACTTGACCCCGTAGAACGTTCGACAATTCGGTTTGTGGATGACTCCGAATCATTCCGACATTTAAGTTCCCTTTGAGTGATGTATCGTATAAAAGGGTTTGTTCGGCAGGATTGTTATTTAAAACCCCTTTACTTTACATGTATACGTATACAATTCTATTTTAATATTTTATTAAAAATTCCAAATACAAATATTATTTTTACTATAAATAAAATTTAAATATATGTATTTGTATACTATGCAAATAACTTTTTCTAGCAAGATAACAAATTGGTCACTTCTTTATTATTTAAAATAAGTGGCACTACCGTTTGGTTATTTCCAATGGATGGCTGACTTGACCTTACTACTTTTTTCTCATTGTTTGTGAACATACCTTACGTTTTCATATTTTCATCTAAATCTCAAAATCCATACGTCAGATACATTTTCCATCAAGCCAACTTTTAAGATTGACTCAAATGTAGAATTTAAAATCTGTATGCAATATACCTAAAGTTATTGATTCCCTGTGAAACTAAAACCTGTGTTGATAGAAACAACTATTGGCCATAACAAAACACATATTATCTATATATTTTAAATAATAGAGATGTAAATGTAACTCGCTATTTTAAATATCATCTCTATATATATATATATATACCTATATATATTTTTTAAATTACATCCCTAAATGTGATATCTATGATCTAATTTCATTATTACTATAAAAAACATTACTTTTCCCGATTTTTATTTCGTACATTCTGAATAATTGAAGTTTTATCTGAAGCTAAGTGAATCATTATTCGACGTCATCTTGAATTTCCCAAGACGTTTTCTTTAAATCCGCGATTTACTCGATCCCATAATAAATTCAAGAGATCCTTGTAATTCTTCCGCTTGGCTGATTACTTTATATATCTATTAAAAGAGTAGAATTACGTTTATTTTTATTGATAGTTATGCTTTAACTAATACTTAACAAAAATTTATAGAAGCTTTAATAGACGATTAGTACCTACATAATTTTTCGTTATTAACTTTATCAGTATCAAATAAACGACTATTAAGTAAAATTAACTTCAATTCTATATAATAATAAACGATTTATATTGTTTTGTATGACGAGTTTAAAATTAATATTCTATACTGTATAATTATTAAAAAACCTATATGTAATAATATGCATATAGGGATCCACAAGAGACGTGTTTTTCCATGCTCATTGTTTCGGAAACCTGGTCACTCATCTGGAACGATGAATGTAAGTATAACCTTATTATGAATAGGTTTTTATAGCACCTGTTTAACGGTCGATATATTTTGGGAAAAATCTTTTTATAGTTCAGAAATAACCAGTGACTAAATAAGGCTAACATTTCAAAAATGGCTTGGAAAAAATATAATCGAAGAAGTGCGTTTAAAAAATTAAAGTCTGGAACGTTTATTTTGATGAAAAATGCATTTAAATTAACATGACTGCTCCTGTATTTGACAAAGCAATTATGTATAAAAGTTTCTTGCTATAAAAAATCTTTTACATTGAGTTCTCAATAACAAGACAACCTAACTATATAATGCTTCCCTTAATTGATACTAGATGTCGCTGCACTCTAAGACTTAATGTAACATTATAACATAGCACGTCTTTCATATTTATATGTCTAGACTTCACAATCTAAGATAATGTTTTTGTTAATAAAAGTACATTCAAAGATAATCATAATTTTCTTTAATGTTATCTATAAAACTTGAGTAATTATTAATTTATCTAGATTCTAGATTCCAATTTAAAAAGTAAAATTCGTAAGTAAATATATTTATATATACAAAAATTTTCTAATATTGAAATGCTTCAATAAATTGTATCAACAAGTCGCACGTTGTTCAACATATTGTGACGAGTAAATCAAACATTTTTCTCACGAACGATCACACAAATAGACCGTAATTGAAACTATGCACAGACTACAATTTAATTCGTGCTCTTATTTTCATTTTGAAAATGTTGTATGAAATTATTTTAAATTAATGTTAAAATATTTTTACAACCTTCAGATTAGTTAGTTTGTTTTTTTCTTGTTATATTCGTGCATTTTATCATTTATGTTCATGGACTCTTTTTAAATAATTGATGAATGTCTTATAAAATTAAATCATAAAAAATAAGAATGCCAAGTTGGTAAATGTTAGGAATATAAAGTACAATGAATATAATTACTTATGTGATATTTTTTTCTTATTGTATATTCGAATTGAATAATTTTATTATCCGAGACAATTGTTCGTACATTCTGTTATAACTTGGACCATGGACGGTGGAAGTGAGCGTTAAACGCGCGTTAGATAGGGGCCCCTTAAACCTACAACTGGGTCGCAAGTCCCAGTCACTGTTGAAGCTCCTCTCACTACAACGATGGACCCGACACCCGCACGGTGAATACATTGAATGCTACGAAGTTTCGTATCATAATAATATTTCTGCAACTATAATAGGTACTGGTAATGTTTTGTAACTTCATCTGTCTTTTAAAATTTCAAAGCACTGTTAGGCACAAATTTTCCAAGGTTTATGCGTTTATTTGTATTAATTTTAAACTGTGTCATTATTAATTCTATAAACTAATTTTTGTACTAATTTATTTGAATGACAAGCCATAAATATTGTTGTTAATGAAAAAAATACAAAGTAATGCAAACTGTGGCGGAAATTTTTGAAATCTTAACAAGAAAACAGCCTATAAATTATTGTATTCATGACAACTGGAATTTTTTATTAATTCACTTATCTCCCAGAAAAAAATATGTTTGTGGTGATATTGCCAATGTCAAATAAATGATAAGTATACTTTATTGACACTTACGTCATTAAGTGATTATTAAATTGGTAATTTTTAAGCTCTTAATATATATTATTAATATTATGTAACTAACTCTTACTTCAATTAATATATGTAATGATTTTATTACATTTAAAAATATGTATTTATATTCCAAAAGTGATATATAATATTACAAAAAGTTTCCCGTACCGGGAATCGAACCCGAGCCTCCTGGGTGAAAGCCAGGTATCCTAGCCACTAGACCATACGGGAGATATTGGAATCGCTATAATTGTCAAACAAATTCTACATTTAAAGAAAACCATGATCAATATTTTGAAATATTCTATAAATATTTTTTTTTATTACAATGTGTTTAAAATCCGTGTTATTAATTATTTGTAAAGTATTTACCTATCACATGTTACCAAAAGAATTGTTAACACGATTTCTAAAATATAAAAGATTCCTTCGATTGTTGGCCTAATAATTTGGTTTATAAACCTTAAACTGGTTTTAAAATAGGTTAAGCGTATTATTCCATAAAAAGAAGTATATACTTACTTCTGTATAACATAAAACAATGTATACTGTTTATTAAAATTAATATGTATACTGCCCTCTTCAGAGAGTATCAAGAAGTTCATAGTTACTAAATACATAATATAATTTTGAACACAGATGGCGCTTTATACAAAAATAAGGAGATATGTGTATGACGAAGTTGTATATTGTTTTACCATTTTATCATAGATGGCGCTGTTAAAAATTTAAGTGATAGAATAGATTTCAGATGTAACATGTTTACAGTTATTTACATTGATGCATAGTAAAAAGTGAAGAATTTCAATTCTATAGAGTTTAATAGTAATATAATCTAAAGTTACGTTGAAGGTCATATATTATATGAACAGTAGTGTTTTATTTTTATTAAGAGAATTGTTAATTAATTTAATGATCATAACTACTCTATAAAACAAATAATTTATTTTCATGAGACTCTATGCATTTCTATCAGAATATTAATGTATATTGTTTTGTACTCGGGGCCAATTTATATTAATTTTATGAGATTATGGTTGTTTAAAGTATTAAACAATGTTTTTTTTAATAATTCCAATTCTTAAAAAACACTTTAAAACATTGTTTTAAACGTTGCTTCTATATATTTTGTCCAAGTTTACATTATCGCTAAACATATGAATCTTTGAATGTTTTGTCATTCAATAACTAACCTTAATTATTTTGCTATAAATTTATTGAATTGTTAATGATTAGTATGTACTAATCTGAAACTTCGTAAATCAAGTTTTCTATAACATATGTTATAAGATAGTAGGAGATTAATAATAATTGTGTTTGCATTTCATATCATAAGTATATTATTAACGTTGTTTGAAACAAACATTAAATGTTATAGGTGAAATCGTTTTAAAAAATATTATTTTAAATATAAATTGTACCGCTTATGAAATTTCTTAACAAATTTGATAGACCCGTCGTTGCTAATAATTAAACTTAAGTGATAAACCAAAACAAAATTACTGTAAATATGTATATATCTTTATTAATAACAATAAAATCTAGACAGGAGGTATTTTATTACAATAATCTTTAATCACATACAATAGAAAACAGATGTCGCTACTAGTACTAAAGAGATCACTATTGAAGTGACTAATTGTAAGCGTACAAATATTTGGCAAAGAGGAATTAGCAATCTATTAATACTGATACAAAACTAGTGGAATAGCATCTTCAGTCCATAAAATAGGAGATCGTTCAACATTTGCGTTAATTAATTAAGGATAATAAGTTATTTAGGTTTTCCAAATAGGCCGATCGAAATTCTACTCTAAGACAGTACTAATTTAACATCGAATAAGCTTTAAGTGAAGCCAAGGGTTTAGACTATATTTAATGTTGTCTTAGTGAGTGTCGCGTCGCCTCCTTCCAGGTCCTCCAGCGTAGTTAGCAGCTGCCAGACCCATCAGGTGTTTAGCTTGAATAGCTCCAGAGTAACCACGGCTAAGACCCAGGTCTAAAGCGCGTTTCTCGCTGCAAGAGAATTTATTTAGATTAATTTACATTATATGTAGTATAGTAGGTATTATATTCTACATTTATTAGCGTAAGCAAGGACATATTTATATGTGTTTTAACATATACATATTACAATAATATTATTTTATAAAGTGAATAGTACCTAATGATTAAAGCTAGCATGCTTTTATATGAGAAGCAAAAATAAAATAAAAATAATACTACATAAACTAACCATCATTTGTCCATCGAAATAAAATATATGTATATTAAAAAACAAACAAAAATATAAAGCTTTTATACTTTGATATCTTAAAACAAGATACCCTAATGGTTGACCTTTTACAAAACATTTTTAATATCTATAATAAATTCAAAAGGTTCTTAGCGATATCTATTTCACTTAACGTTGAAAAACCATCTCTTTAATAGCTGTTTTGTTTCGATAGAAATGTATCGATAGTCGATAAAGAGTATTGTTACGGCGTCCGTTAGAACCCGAGGCGTTAAGAATTTACATAAAACACAACGACTTTGTACATTTCAATGATAGACTTGCAAAATAGATTACTTAGACATGAATTTTTATTTCCGATTCATGTAACGATGTTGTTTTTCATCATTTGAAATGAATGGCTTCGAGAAGTTTTTTTTTTTTGGAAAATAAAAAAAGGGTACAAGACAACTAAAGTATTCCACGCTGAAACTTCGAAAACTTTCTGTTTTTCTTTAAAATAACTGAAATTTTATATGTGAAATATAAATAAAGAATACAACAAATTAAAGCATGCGAAACAAATGAACTGCGTTGTATTAATGTTCTATATAATCTACTTATTAGTAAAGCACTTTGATACTATACATCTAAAAGATAAGAAATGGAATTAAAGGTTGCTAATTCAACTAGATTATTGTGACGTACCTAGTAATATCCTCTTTAAAGCTGAAACGAGAAATATAAGTTATAGCGTGTACAAACATTTTGTGTATTATAAATGTAAATATACTTTTTTATAACAATTATAGCACTTTTTTTGTCAAGTTCCAATTAAAAGTATTTGAATATAACACAATTGTATTTTTGTATTAATGTTGTATGTGTAAATGAACATAAAAATTGTATATTTTTTGTTCAATTCAATTAAATTGAATTATGAAATGATTCACATAATTCAATTATTGGTTTATTATTGGACGGTCAATATGTCAGTCTTCTTCTTCTTCCTGGCAATTTTTCCAGCTTTAGCCAGGGTCTGCCTTACATGTTGAGAATAGTTTTTATTAATTGTTTTTACGACCAGCCGCCTGCCTGACATTAATCCGCTTTGGGAATGACGATAAATATGTCAATATATAGATTATATGAATCTAGCAGTCATAGTGAATAATGTATTTATACTAACTTTTCCATTTTGCGTTCCATTTGCAGGAGGCTGTTCAGACGGTTCAACATATCCACTATTTCTTCAGGCTCGTAGCTTTGTTCGCGGTAGTAGTTATTGATACTGTGGTAGTATTGAAGCATTAGTATTTATAAATTAATACAGGCAAGAAACAACAAATTTTTAGTAAGAGTACTTTTTGTTTAATGTCACATTTATATAGAAAGTTACGCAAATATGTAGAATAGTATAGCTTTTGTTAGTGTCAATCATGTAAAAACTACCTAAGCGTTTATAATAAGTATTTTATCTTTATTAACATTTAATGTATTTTCGGTTTTATTTCCGATATCTGTTAGTTTTAAAGAATTACAGGAATTTTTTTCTGTCTAAATTACTATAAGTTATGTTATGTCTGTCTGTCTGTCTGTCTAAATTACAATAATATGAAGTGAAATATGAAATGAAGAACTCATAATACAAAAACGAAATTATTTTGAAGTCTATTATGCTTATTTTTGAGGACAAAGTACCACTACCTGGGGTAGGAAAAAGCTGGTACTGCCAAGACCAGAAGGCCGAGAAGGCAGCACAGGAAAAGACAGCTTACTCGGGCCATTCTGAAACAAACAAAAACACTTAGATACACGGAAAACTATTATAAATAACATTTTAATTAATACTTATTTAATTATATCATAATAAAATATAGCATCATCATCATCATCAGCCTATCAGAGCCCACTCCTGAGCAAAGGCATCTTCTCACATGGAGAAGATTTGAGCATTGATCACCACGCTTGCTCAATACGGGTTGGCGATTTATAATTAGAAATTATAAGTCAGTGTTTCCTCACAATGTTTTCCTTCGCCGTCTGTCAGTAGTGTCTAAATACTCTTAGACGTACTTGCGAGGTTTGAACCCGCGCCCTCATGTATGAGAGGCAGGTACTTAACCACTAGGCCACCACGACTATATAGCATGATATACGTAATTTTATGAAAGCATGTTTTCCTGCTAAGTATTTTTTACGCAGGTAAAGCGAAAACGTTGTCATTTTTCATCATATACTGTGACCAGATGTGTAAAAAAAATTTTCAGCGTTGAATTGTCACAAAATAAATTTGACTTTAGCAAGAATATATAACTTCCGTTGTTAATATTTCATATGTGTTGTGAATATTTCGCAATCTGTCGCTGCCGGTGTTAAAAAATATAACAGGTTTTACATAAAAGTATGAAAACTATGAAATTTTTGTTTGCAATATGTTATGATGCTAACAACCGTCAGAGAATCTACTTAATGGAGGCAAGAAATTAATGTTAAAAAGAAGTTTTGTCAAATCCAAATTCTCTCAATTTCAGTGTCTAAACCTCGCTATATTAAGCAGTCATTAAAAATCTTTACAAAATTATAATATTTACGTGTAATATATGTACAAGGGAAAAATCCCAAAAAATATTCCATATTCATTCATCTTTGATTTTTGTAATTTTAAGTCACAAAAGTATGTACTCGTATTTTATAAAGTTATCGTAACATAATTCCTAACATTATCTGCTATAAAACTATAAAATCATTGAACACTGAAGTTAATACGATGCAATTAACAATTAGGTCTAGAACAATCAGATCAATGCACTAGAGTTGCTTTGGAGGACATAGGGAGATGCGATTGTAACTCGCTTGACTTATTAAATGTTTATATATAGAAAATCGAGGTAATATAAAAAAAAAAAACAATAAAACATCTGAATCAAAATTATGAATCGTAAATCTAATTTCTGACAAGGTCGGTACAAAAAAATCCAATCAAAAAACGTAATAGAACCAAAAAGAATTATGTCAAATTGATATTATGTTTCCGAAAAATAATTAATATTTTCATTGGGCATAGTCGACTGTAGAGGCGGGTTCATGTTTCGAGTAGCCACGACTTACAATTAGCTTAGTCGGAACGGCTACCAGGTGTACCACAAATAGCCTGAAATAGCCACAAATGGCCCACAAATAGGCAGGCCCTTGAGTTCCACGACAATTATAAGCATAACATGCTTCTGTTAGGCATAGTGGGGTCAACTAAACACATATATTGTCCAACATAACCGTAAACCGTGACTTTGCATGTAAATGTTTGGAATTATACAAAAACTGTGGCTTTCATAGGTATTTTGTGTGTAATTTTTAGCCACATAGATATTATGCAAGTTACTTCAGCAATTGCGTATTTTTACGAACATGAAATGCGTAATAATTTTTTGGGTAATATTTGAATTTAATTAATAAATATAATATTTATGTCAACACATGTATGTAATCTATTCTAATATAATGTCAACGTTCGGTATCTGATTTTATTTAATGTTTATTTATTTGTCTGTGTTCGTTATCACGACAGACCATGCGTGGTAATATCGGGCTCTTGTCAGCTAATTACAATCACGAATAGATAAAACAATCGATTGACCAAATTTCAGGCATATATTGTAGTGATTTTTATATTAAATCAGTTTGCAATATTATATGTTATTGAAATTACCAATCTGCATTGAGCAAGCGTGGTGATTAATGCTCGAATTTTCTCCATGTGAGAGGAGGCCTTTGCTCAGCAGAAAGCTCAGATAGGCTGATGATCATCATGATGATGATTCAATATTTAAAAATCCTAAAGTATATGATGTTTTTCTTCTTATTAGTCTTCCAAATATCGATTGTATGAAGAAATTTCTTATGAAAATTTATCTCAATGCAAATCATATTGGCGTATTATAAATATTATTCGTAGTTTTGACATAAAATCTATATCCGTTTAAAAATATCTTGCAAGTGCTTTGATGTTAGTTACAATAAGACCTATAATGTAATGAGAGATTTAAGAAATTAATTAAATTTCTTTTTACGTCGTTGTTATTATAGAAACAATAAACTACATACTTATTACAAAATATTATAGTACATGTTAAAATAATTTCACACACCTACGTTCCAGAACAATTACATTACTTTTGTTTAAAATATCATTAAATATATATATAACTAGCTTTCCGCCCGCAGCTTCGCCGCGTGGAGTTCGGTTATATCGCGTTTCCAAGAGAACCTTTCAAAAGTCTGGGATAAAAACTATCCTATGTTCTTTCTCAAGGTCAACTCTATCTCTGTACCGAATTTCATTAAAATCAGTTCAGTGGTTTAGGCGTGAAAGCGTAGCAGACAGACAGACAGACAGACAGACAGACAGACAGACAGAGTTACTTTCGCATTTATAATATTAGTAGGGATGATAACATTTTGCATTAAGGACAATAAAATAATTTAAATTAAAGTTGTATATAAATATATATGTATATATGTATGTATTTAGTAAGTATTATATGATCATAAATGCCGACCACAATGTTCTAGTGTTTGGTGTACACAATAACACTCAACAAACATTATGGAGCATGCATTGTTGTACGGCGAGATGACGTCAAACACTCATAGGAGCACATCTTGAATGCAATTGTCTATACATGTACCTTTTAAATGGATTATCCTTTATAAAAATATAAGAAAAATAAACTAATAAGATAGTAGAGGATAAAGTATTAGTTACATTGAACAAAATACATCTAAATACATTTAATGGTAGAGAATGGTCGCGTGAGTAGACTTGTTAGGATGGGTAGTTGTGAATAACTAACGTCATTTATGTTGATTTATTGAAGCCATCCCATTTTCTAGAGCCAAAAAAACAAGGAACACAGCCTCTTGATGGCATTGTAATATGTATCAATCAACATGTAGCTTAGTTTTAACGTAAATTGACGAAGTAATCACTGATAAAGTTAGCTTTTTTATACAAAAACAAATATAACACCAAATTATCAAGCAACGGGCGGATAGTAATTGTTTTTTTGAACTCCAAGTTTGTAAACCTCTAGAAAGAAATGAAAGTTAAATTGTTAGATTGAAATTCTCCAGAAGTTTCATTTGCAGTACAAATTGGTGTAAGTACAAATCTATTTAGTGGAGACCGAGATTTAATAGGAAAGGAAAGCTACTGCGGAGCTGTGCTAGCCACTTGTAGCGAACTGAATTTAACAGTTTTAAAGTTATAATAATAAAATATTATATCCGTAGAACAATGTGAAATTATTTCTGTACTGTGCTAAAGTTTTATACAATTCTCATATCTTGGTTTTATAACTAACGAAACAGAAATTTAATAAGAATTTAAACTTTACACGGAGATTGGATTATAAAAATTTTCGTAAAATTAATTTTAATGACCTTACAATTCAAGTGAATTAAATCCATAAAAAGAGCTAATATTAATTTAAAATAGATTTATAACATACTATAGATATCTGTAGATTGTAGAAAATATGATAATACATTTTATAGATTTCTGTAGAAAATATAATAATAACCAAAAGTTAAAATTAGTATAATCTAAAATATCTGATGTACAATTTGCTACATTAACGCCAGCCTACGAGGGTCAAACGGGGTTGTAAAATTTGGGAAGGAAATGTTTACACATTATGTAATCAAGCTGCGTTATTTGAACCACGAGGAAGTTATTTAGATACGAAACTTACTGTTATATCACGCATATAATTCCTGGGTAAAGTTTATATAAAACTTTTTAAATTAACATGAATTATACAGTAAAGAATATAATGTTATTAGTTCTTATTCATGTTTGGCATTCTTCATATATTATTTATATTAAAATAAGCCTAATTCTGTCAATGTTTGTGCAAAAACCAAATGCTTTCCTTACAAATAATCTTGCGTCCACTATACAACTCTCCCTTATATACTATAAATATATCATTTAAAATTTGCAATTAATTATTTCATATGCAATTTGAAAGGAAGATTTAAAATACAACTTCTCATTTCACAAAACTATAAACTCAGTCAGTCACTTTCATACAAACTGGTGGTGATTTAGTTTAAATTTCTCAAGAGTATTCCAAGCAGGAAGTAATATTACTGTTCATAGTATGAACACTGAAAACTTTACTCGACAAATATACTATATAAAAGACGAGATGGTTTAAAATTAAACTTTATAAACTATTTGAAATTATAAGAATATTCTGGATACTATTTATGTATGTATTATTGAATTAAAATGGCTGTATTTTAGAGCTAATATTTTTTTATATATACGAAATTTAAAGGACTTAATTGGTTTGGTAGAAAACACAAACTATTGATTAAGTTTTCCTATCATCAGTGACTCTTTGAGGACGGAGATAAAAATTGTTTTACATAGATTTAATTCTAATATACAGTTCAAACACACTGTAATAATATTTTCGTAAAATAATTACAATAAAATTTTAATATATTAAACTTGTTTTACGCGTTTTTATGAAGTAATCAAATATAATACATAGCTCACTTGAGCTATAATATATGGCTTGAGAACGAAATAAAATATCAAATTTTTTCTCCTGATCCGTTTCGAAATCAATTTATCTATCAAACATAATAAAGCAATCTCAAAAATTAAATTTGAATATATGATTCCTGAATCACCATTATTCGGTAATGACAAATAAAAGGTATTTACATAGAGACACTCAAAGTGACGTCCACCGACGAATTGATTGAGGAAAAT